CAACCCTAGGAGGTAAGCTATTTTGCAGATGAGAAACTGAGGTATTGAGAGGTTAAGGTAACACAGCTTGTAAGGGGTGGGGCCAAAATACAAATCATAAGGGCAAAATTGTGCTGTGAGGCAAGTTCCAGACACTCATTTCAGGCTTATGACAGCCCTTTGTGGGTTAGGTCCTACTACAACACCAATGTACAGATTGAGGCACAGAGAGGTTAAGGAACTTGTTCCAGGCCACAGAGCTGGTCCATGCAGAGCGGGAAGTCAAACCCTAGGTCCCTCAGTGAGACTTTCGACTTGGATGTTCCACTTGCAGATATGGGGAGTCATCCTGCCCCCGCACTGTGCAAATCCCTTGTCAATCCCAGCGCGGGGAGCACAACCCGGAAAGCCCCTCGTCCACCCCACGGAGACTGGCTGGGTCCTCCTCTTTCCCTCTTTGCGAGTCTTCCAGACTCCTTGCTCCTGCTCCCTCACCTCCTAGCCTGCTGATTCAGCCCATGCTGCATTCTGGAGGAGACATCCCCCCCGCCCCGGGAAACCAGACCAAAGGAGGCTTATAGCCCCAGAATGTTCACAGCGACACGGCTCAGGGGCAGCATCTGGCCGGCAGGTCCTGCAGCGGCGTTTCAAGGACACAGGTCTGTACTTAGAATAAATGCCGTTTGGGGCTGACGGAGATCGGAGAGGCTGAAATGCTCCCGTCCCCGCCCCAGGCCCCCGTCTAGGCGCCACCGCTGGGTGAGAGTCCCGGCACCTGGCTGGTCTCCACCTCTTGTCAGCCTGCGCTCTCTACGCTCTCGGACTCCCTCGGGATTTCCTCGTCGACGCCGCGTGGTCTGGGGACCCGGCCCGGAGCGCCTGGGGCTCAGGGAGCAGAGACCCTCCCCCAGCCAGGCCAGCCGACCCCCGGCCCTCCCGCCGCCGCGGCCTCCCACGTAGCGTTTTGAACCCGCTTGGCGCTAAGGCAAGAACGAGCGTGGGGAGCGGGCAGGGCGAGCAGAGGCTCTAAATCTTCCTTCAATCTCTGAGTAGATGAAGTCTGAGAAACAAATTCAAAGCAGGCGCGCCTGCAGAGCCTTCCTGCAGAAATATTCCCCGGCATTCAAGCGCATCCAGGGGCGGCTCGAGCTGCCTTGTTTGGCTAAGGTCAGACGAGACTCGAGTTCTCCAATAAAAATAAATCTCAAATTAATTATGGCCTCGAGCGAGGGGCCAGACACTTGAAGCTGCAGTTGTGCAGTCTGGAGTTTTGGCGCTCGCTCGCCCGTCCCTCCCCCGCGCTCCCGCCTCTCCCCCCACCCCCCCATCCCCCCGTTGCCAGCTCGAATACCAGCCCAGGCCGCGCTGGACCCGAGGGGCGGGAGAGGAGGGAGGACGGAGGGGAAAGGATCCGCCCGAGACGCTCTGCCAGGCCTGGCATCTTTCTGGGTTTCAAGTGACGGAGCAGTCCCCGGGGCCGGAGGCACCCCGGGGACCCGTCTCCGATTGTCGCGTCCTCCCACCCCCAACCTGGGCTGGGACCAAAGAAGCCCAGGAAGTCGCGTCTGGAAAGTCTTGACCGGGTCAAAAGGGCTGACTTTGAGCGAGCCAAGACACGTTTCACCCCGGCGCACCCCTCCCGGGGGGAAGCAGGACTTCCGCATCTTTGAAAATACTGTCAAGTGCGGACGGTGCGAGGCAAGTCGTCTGACCAAAGTTCCAGCGAAAATGCTTGAAATCCAAATGTTTCCTAAATATTCGCCCTCCATGTGCATGCTTTCTGTGTGACCGACCCTAGGCTTAGAAATGTGTCATGAGTTGTTTTGTGGGTCCCCCAATTGGTAGCTTTTGTTTTAAAAGCTGGCCGGGCTTCCTTGGCTGCGAGAGCTCCCCGACTTGAAAGCCAGTTGGGGCTGGTGGAATGGGCGCTGATGGTCGCAGGCACCAGCTCCTGGGCACCAGCCCTGCCCAGTCTGGGAAAGGCAGGCAGGACAGTCTGGTGAGCCAGGAAAGAGGGTGTGTGCAAGTGTGTGGGCTGGGGTAACCATTCCCCAGCTAAGCTAGGAGAAGGGAGAGGGAGAGAGAAAGGGGAGGGAGAGTGGGGAGAAGGGGAGGGGTTGCACCTCCCCAACTCAAAGACAGTTTTCATTTGTAGCAGGCCTTACCACAGGCTCTCTATCAATTTGTCTCAATGCAAACATTCAAAATATTCTCTTTGGCTGCTCGTGAAAACAATGTGAGCTGCCAGGATCAAACCATCTTTCCAGATGTCTGGTGGTAACCACATGAAACAGGGCAGACTTGTTTACTGTTGTGTTTGGTTAGGGCTTTTTCCCCCTTCGGGATTTAAAATAGAAGCAGCAGCAGGAGTTGGGCTTCAAACCCAGAGTTACATAAGTGGGGCAAACTTGCCCACCAGCATGTCAGTATGGGGTGAAGGGAGCCTCAAATCCCTCAGAGAGCTTTTGTTCCCAGTTGGGGGGGTTTCTTTCTAGGTGGAGGACCTCGTGAATGGACAGGAGCTCCTCATGGAGGGGCGGGGGGGTAGCAAAAGGCATGGCGTCAGTGCTAGTCAATGAGTCACAAAGTGGTGACAGTTATGGCAGTGTCACCCTCTCCCCCCCATCTTCAAAATTATGAAATTGCCATAGCTTTGGTTTTCCCAGGAGACACAGAAACCCCCCCTGAGTTCCAGAGCTAAAACAGGAGGGCAAGTCCTCATTTTAATGTAGTTTCCCATTAAGCAACTCTCCATGGGAGAGGAAGCTCCTGCTGAAAGGAGTTGGGGGTGCTAGGGGTGTGGGGGTGAATGTCCTGATCAGTGCAGTGAAGATAATAATATGCTCTTGGCCCGGCCTCATAGGAGTTGGGAAGAGAAACCTAGCCAATATTTCTGCCATGGAGGTGCCTTCTCCAGCACTAGGAGGAGTGTGGAAGGAAGGGGGAGCATCTGGCTGGTGTGGGGTGGCCATTAACAACCTCAGTGTTTGCCCAGGACCAGGAAGGGGGCCTCCCGGTGGTGGAGTTGAAATCCATTCTGCCTGAAAGAGGGGCAGTGTGGCTGGGGTGCCGGGTTTCTGGCCAGGTCTGGGTGGGAAGCGGTCTCCCCGCACCCTCCTGAAAGCCCTGTTGTCGTTTGAAGGTCGGCAGAGTCTGGGCTGAAAAGGAAACAATTTGGGGTTTGAAAGGATGTAATTCATTCTTCCTTTCCCTTTAACCTCTTTCCTCTCTGGAAAGCATGTGGAAAAGCTGAAGGGAAGAGGGAGAGGGCAGGCGGCCGGTGGAGGGGAGGAAAGGGTTAAGCCTGATTTCTTTTAATTGAACTCCAGAACTGGTGGCCCCAGGCAAAGGGGGGGGGGACTGACCCCGCTAGCGGTAACCAGATGTGGCGGTCCCAGGGGAGCCCCGGAGCAGACCCCTGGATTGAGAAGCAGACAGGAGGTGGGGGGGGTCGGCCCGTCCCCCATCCCAACCCCACCCCACCCCCACCCCACTCCCCCATAAGCACACTGAGTCTCAATTGCTGGCAGGCTGCACCCGCCACTCCAGGTCTGGTCACGTTCAGACCCGCGTCTGTATTCGAACCCAAAATTGGAGCTGAATTGATGAGACTAATTTCGAGAGGGGGGTGGGAGGAGGGAGGGAGGGAGGCGAGCTAGATTTCTGGCTCAATTGCTCCAGAAGAAATAAAGAATTGATAAGTCACCTTTTTCGCCGCTGTGGACACCCTTTTGAAATTTTTTTTTTTTTTTTCCCAATTGACTCGGATCTCCTCTGGATTTTTTTTTCCTCCTTCCCCCCGTGGACTCTTAAATAAAAGTGAAAAAGTCCAAAGCGTGGTTTTTTTTTCGTGGAAAAGGTAACCTGTTTTGGAGGTTGGGGAGAAGGGAGTCAGGCCGAGAGCGCCCGGGGGTGGGGTCGGGGTCCCCTCGCTGCGCCTGGACTCCTGAGGCTGCCCCAACTGGAGCTTTCGGCGGCACTGCGGGGGGACGGGGGGAGGTCTCCGGATGGCGGGGACCGACAAGGCGGGCCAAGGGCCGGCTGGCCTCCTGGCCGGGTGGGGATGGTGGTCCCGAGCACTGACCCCGGGGGCTCACCCGAGGGGAAGTCTGAGTCTGTGCGGCGATCTTGCGTGCTGCGCTCTGGAGACCTGCGGACCAGCGTGTAGGGAACATCCTGCGGTAGTGTAGGTTTCTCTGCGCTCGGAGTAGCACTGCATAGGCGGCTCTGGCCGAGCGCCGGGACTTGGGCCATCCGGTCCAGGTAAAGTGCGAGGGGTTTGACCCTAGAAGGCGCGGATAGGTGGCTTAGGGTGCCGCCGGTCCCGGCCCCGGGAGGGCCCCGGGAGCTCTCCAGGAGCAAAGGGCCGAGACGCGCTGTCCGGGGGCGCCCTTCTGCTAACAATGCGCTGGGAGCCTAGTCCGCGCCCCCGACGGTGGGATCCTTCCGAAACCGCCCCGAGTCCGCGTCGACCGGTGAACAGCTCCGAGTCTGCCGCCACTCGGCAGCCCAGGGCCCGAGTGGAAAAATTCCCACTGGATGCATTTTTTTTAATGGTTGGTTTGCGTCGGTCGGCGTCCGGATCTTCCCGGGCAGTAGGTTCCAGGTTATCCCCAGCCCGAGTAAACTCTCCCCCCCAACCCCCAATAAGTTTGACTCGGGCTGGAAAAAGCATTAATGAACGTATCTGTGGGAAGAAACGGAAAGTGAATGAGTCAGGAGGGCCACCTTCGGCCAACGGCCCCGGGAAAAGGAAGGAGGCCAGAAAGACGTTTGGTTTTGGACTTTTGGGGAAGGTGTTGGGGGTGGGGGTGCAGACTGCGGGAATCAGGGCGCGGGCGCCGGGCGTGGACCCCGGCATTGTTCCCAGCTCGCTCTTATCTCCCAGGAGCAAGTATCCTGTGTGCGCAGCGCATGAATGTATCTGGGCATCTCCGGGTATATTTATATAGCGTGTGTGATGCGAAAAGCAGGACCAGCAGAGGGGAGGAAGAGGGGGTGTGGGGGAAGGGAAGACGAGGGAGAGCAGAGGGGAGAGGAGAGGAGAGCGCGAGACAGAGAGAGAGAGAGAGAGAGAGAGAGAGAGAGAGAGAGATAGGACTTCCTCCCCGATTCGCAGAGAGAGAGAGAGAGAGAGAGAGAGAGAGAGAGAGAGTTCATCCGGTTAACTGTCTCTTTTTCGCTCCGCTACAACAACAAACGTGCACAGGGGAGCGAGGGCAGGGCGCTCGTGGGGGGCACGCCGGGAGGGCCCAGGGCGCCAGGGAGGCCGCGCCGGGCTAATCCGAAGGGGCTGCGAGGTCAGGCTGTAACCGGGTCAATGTGTGGAATATTGGGGGGCTCGGCTGCAGACTTGGCCAAATGGACGGGACTATTAAGGTAAGCGATGGGGCAGTGGGCGCGGGAGCGGCGGGGCAGGCCGGGTCGGCGAGGCAGCGGGCAGGCTTGGCGCGGAGCGCCGGGGTCCCGGAAGACGTGGCCAGTCTCCCTTCCTTCCGTGCCCCGGCTTCGCGCCGTCTCCTCCCGCGCTCGGGTGGCGACTCTCACTCGCGGGGGCGACCCTCCAGGCTCACCACAGACAGCGATCTCCCCCGCACCCCTTGTCGCAAAGCCGCGTCCGGCCCCCCACCTACGCGCTGCGGGCCGGGCTGCGGGCGGGGGTCCGCGGGAAACCTAGGGACTTCGGGCACGAATCCAAGCCTGGGGCCGGACACCTCCGGGTCCACCACTCCCACCCGGCAAGCTGGGCGCCTTGGCCCCGGCGCTGGGCACTCGCCTGGCGGCCGGCTTCCTCTTACCCGAGGCCGAAGGCGACGGGGGCGGGAGCGGCAGCCGCCACCCGCTCGGGTCCCCCGGCCTGGAGGGCCCTGGGGCAGGCAAGTGGATGGGTTGCAGGCGGCTCGGGGTGCAAGTGAGTGTGCTCGGGGGTCGGTCTGAGCAGGCTCCTCGGATGGAGGTCCCTGTTTACATGTCAGCGCGGGCTGGTTTCCCTTCCTCTTGGTACTTGTGTTGCTGAGCTCTCGGCGCTCCAGAGCGGCCGGCTCCCCGGGACTGACGGGCGGGCCTCTGCGCTCCGCGGCCAGGGGATCTCTCTGCAGCCTCGGTCGGCGCCGCTGCCCCGCGCCCGGCCCCGGCTCTCCGCGCCCAGGCGTGCGCCGGCTCCAGGGCAAGGGCTCCAGCGTCCTCCCCAAGAGGGTCCCGCGCCCTTCAGAGCCGCTTCTCCTGCGGTGGCCGGCTCTGAGCCGACGGCCCTGCCAAATCCACCCCTCACCCCACACCTCACGCCTGGCTCTAAGTTGCAAAATGCAGCCCAGAGGGATGGATGAGGGTCTGGGTTTCGTGTTAGACTTCAGGAGTGTTGATTGCCTTCTCCTTCTGGAAGCGGGAAGTGGGGCCGGGAGCCGAGAGGAGGGACACCCCCTAAAGTGACTGACCTTAGAGGACCGAGAGGAATGAATGGGACCTGGAGTCGGCTTCCAGGCTGTCCCGCAACACCAAGCCGGAGTCAGTCTGGAAAAACTATTAGGCTGGTGAGGCGGGGAGTGGCAGAACCCGCCATTCCCCAGAACCCAAAGGAATCAACTCCTCGCTCAGGGCTGAGTTACGAGGAGAGGAAGATGTTGTGCTTGGAGAATTTAAGAGATTTTTATCATTTGGGTGGAGTAGTGGTTTTTATTTTCTAAGGTTTTTTTTTCTGAAAGTTTGAAACATGCTGACTGAGGTAAAAGGCACCAACAGAAGGAACTTGAAAATCTGGAGATGAGATAACTGATTGTACTGAGTTAAGGGGAGCCAGTGCGAGTCTGGGTTCATCCAGTTAAAGTGTGTGGGGGGTGAGGAGTGTTCCTATGACGAGGGTGGAGATGGCCACCAGTCATTTATGCCTGTTTCTCCTCACGCTGGTGTGTGCCTGCAAGTGTTTGTGTATCCCTGGTTTGGTAAAAAGGATGCTCCACTCTAGAATTAGGACACTTACCACTTACCCAGAGGCAGTCCCTCCGATCCGGAAGGGTGGTGAGATGGCTCCAGGGTCTTGATGTGGACACCCTAAGGAGAAGTGAAGCAATATCTCCATGATGCTCAGACCTCTAAGGCCCTGAGCAAATGGAGGAAGCTGTGGTCTGTGTACCCAGGATGTGCTAACCTCTTTAGAGACACACACAAGGATTGGCATGGCAGGCAGTGAGAACAGGCTTAGGCGAGGCCCCTGGTCCTTCACGCTAAGGATGGAAGTGAAGGTCTTCTTTTTCAGGTGGGTGGTGGGAGCCTCTGAGTCCCTCCAAACCCTCGTCGGGAGCACCTTTGTCTCTCATCCAGGTGATCTGGTTCTGCAGACCCACCCACAGAGCGGTGGCTTCTCAAGTCCTGAGAAGGGACTGCAGTCCCCAAAATGCTGAAGGATTGAGTTGTTAGTGTATACTTCGGTATTTAAATTGTGTGAAAGCCACACAATTTCCTGTTTCTGTGTGACCTTTGGATCTTGAGGTTCCTAGACCCTATTCCTGCAAGGGTTCAAACACTGTTTGGAAAGGACAGTGGACAAAGGGAGGCCAGTGGATTTCTCGCCTCCATGTGAGAATGCACAGTCCACTGAACCTGTTTGAACTTCAAAATCTTTGTACAAGTGAGACAGTGGGACTAAATTACCTCTACAGCATATCTTTCCAATCTTCTGTTCCTAAAATATCGTGCTTATCTGAACTTCTAAGGACCTATACCTGCATGTCCACAAAATCCAGTTCTATACAGTTGAGGTCTGTAGACAGAAATCTAGAATGTGTGTTCCCAGTTTGAGTGACCTTGACAAATCATATCTGAGTAATTCTGGAATGTGATTTTTATGCACCTGCATGTTTCTTCCTCAAATATAAGGCATGTCTATATTTCAAAATACGTGGGTCTCCACACTGCGGAGGTATTTGGTCCAGGATGCCAGGGAAGTCTGGATTGCTTTGCAGAAGCTTTTTATTCTGTGCATAATTTGCACAACTCGTTTTGATTTCAAAATCTTAATCTTGCTGCCCTTGTTATAAGTCCTTCTGTGTCGTGTTCTCTCCTCCTTTCCAAGAATGTCTCCTGGGAAGGCTCTGAGCATCACGTTGGGAATACCAAAATTTTCAGGAGCCGTTCCACACTTCTTTGGCCACAGACAAGTTAACCTGCGATATTAAACAACACCTACCCCACCCCTGCTCCCCACAGTTGATATTATCAGTGTTGAAAATCACGTGATCCTGGTTGCTGCTCAAGAGATGACCTGGTTTCAAAACCTGCATCTTAGTTCTAGGCAGTCTTCCATTGAATCTAGTTACTCCATCTATGAAAGCTTGATTCAATGCACATGGTACCATTAAAGATGGGGAAACAATCAGAGAAGATGCAGACGTGGTGAATGAAACAGGACCATGCACAGTGGACTCGAAGTCAGAAAGCCTGAGTTCATTCTCAGCTGCTACTCAGTTGCCGTGCGCCCTATAGCAAGGCCCTTCAGCCCCTTCAGCTCCTTAAATGTCAGTTTTCTCATCTGTAAAATGGGGCCAAAGTACCCCCTTGCCAGAAATCACAGTGAGGATTAAATAAAGTCTGGTACCTTAGTGGAATGCACATTCGTTGAATTTCTCCTTGGGGATAGGGGCTTGTGGGGATCGATTGGTCAGAACATTAGATCACAGGTCTGGATGTCCCATAATACATGTTTTATTAATTCAACCAATATTGATGATGTGCCTATTATGTTCCAAGGCTCTGCTTTCTGTGTTGAGAATAAAGCAGGTTATCAAAACCCTGCTAGAACGTATACTCTCGTAGAGGTGGCAGACACCTAAGTAAATAATTCTGTGTCCAGGGCTGATACACCTCCTGAAGAACAAGGAGGCAGGTTATGGGATAAAAGGTGATGTGGTTGTATCAGCCAGGATGCCCAGGGAGGATGCCTCAGGTAAACTCACAATGGAGCAGAGATACTATCAGTCTTCATCCTTTGCCTTGGGAAATAGCAGCACTATACAATCCCCTAAATGATGGGAGAACAAAATCGGAAGGTAGGTGGAGGTCCCCGCTGGGTTCTGTAAGCCGGCAGAGAGTGTGTGTGGCAGACGAGGCCAGGAGGGTAGGTTATGGCAGACTGGACAGTGCTTTCCAGTCAGGAAATTTCCGGATGGTATCTGAGTAGAAACCAGCAGAGTGAGGAACACAGAAAAAAGACTCTACATCTGTCTTCAAAAAAGGATGCTGCCTTGACTTTGAAGAGTGAATTGCCTCCCCCCTCCCTGACACCACCTTTTAACCTTCCTATGGCCTGGCATCATGAGAACTCCAGGAAAGACAGCACTTTGTCAGTTTCTCTGTCCCCATGACCACATAGAATTGCTTCCCTCAGTTAGTAACCAAATGGTGAATCCTGTTTCCTTGGTGAATAAATCCCACAAAAATCTTCCTTCCACTTCTCCTTCCATTCAAAGTCAAGTTTATAGGTTTGCAACTTGAGAACTTTCGAGATTATTGAGCTCAATATGCTCATTCTGTGGGTGGGGAAACTGAGGCCCAGTTATTTAATGAATGACCTGAGATCACACAGCTAACTACTGACAGAGTCAAGAGGGGAATTCAGGGATCCTAACCCTCAGGCTAGTGTTCTTTCCACCATACCGTGAAGATTTCATTTGTTTTCATTACAATACCATGAATTATAGAATCCTGGAGATTATGTGTGTGAGAGAGAGAGGCAGAGAGAGGAGAGAAAGACAGAGAGAGATGCCTTTAAAAGAAAAACCATGAGGAATCTGGCACTTTGAACTAAAGACATATCTGTTGTTTAATGAAAAATATATTCCTACCATCCTGAATTATGTCCATACTTAAAAAAAATTCCAAATTCTCAGATAGGATTTTTACATAGCTGTTTTCCAAAATAAATCCTACTTTTCCTATAGACAAACAAGGTCTCTGTTACCAGGAGACAACAAAAAAAATACAGGATTTTGCTTAAATAGCCAATAGGTCTCTCTACAGACTGGGGGAAGGTGGGCTGAATTCCTATTTCAGTTCCTCTAATAATTGAATATTTGACGATTTAAGCAAAATACATTCAGTGTATTATAATATAACTTCTAGACCCATCTTTCAGACTGTGTAGTAAGTAGGTCTTAAATAACAACTGCATTGTGCTCGCTTCGGCAGCACATATACTAAAATTGGAACGATACAGAGAAGATTAAATAACAACTGCATTAAATAAGATTTCAGATTTCAATGTCGGCTTCTGTTTGGAGTTAACCAGTTAACTTGGCATTTGGTTTTAAAAAGTGATTGATTTAAACCAAGTCTATTTTCTAGAACTGTAACATTAGTCTAGTGCTAGTATTGAGTTGTCCCAGCAA